ACTTCTGGCTTCCACCAGGCATAGGTAAACATAGGCATGCACACACACAGTCACAAAATACAAACCAATACACACGTGTACCACTCCAAAAGAAAATGTACATGTTCAGCACAGACTCGGTCATCAAGTATGTAGGAAAACGTTAGGGAGAAAGGTTTCAGGTGTTAATGGAGTAGAAATTATTCTCAAATATTTGAGTCTCCTGTTACCTATTACTTCCAAATAAATCCTGGTATATAATAGACGGTCAATGACAGTTTTCATACATAAGTAAATTTGCATTCAGTTTAAAATATGACATTTTCAATTACAGTACAAACTGAATACGGTTTTCCAAACTAACTATATGGTTTACTCCTAAGTTAGGACAACCATATCATTTTACCTTTGAACTGGACACTTAAGAAAAAAAGTGGTACAAATAAATTATATTCAGACAACAAATGTACACATGTCAAATCAGTCCAGCCTGGACCACGTTAGTGACCATCTCTTCTGGCCCACTCACAGCTGTTGGATCTGAGGTATGACTCCATGCTCAGCCTGAATTTCTTTTGTAAGGTAGGGTCCCACTGGGTAGCCCTCAATGGCTTGGAATTTGCTATTTAGGTCGTTGATCTGCTCGCTGAGGTCTGCTTTTTGCTTGCTGTCTTTTATTAGCAGACATTCCCGTACCTCAAAAGGAGTGACAACTATTTTTTAAAAATAATCCGTGTAAAATGTAATCACAATCTGAATTGTCTTATCAATAACTAATTGAGCGAAAGTGCTTTTCAGTATTAACGCTGCATTTGGAAACTAGTCCAAATATGGAAAACTTTTTTTTTTTTTTTTTTTTTTGGTTTTGCTTTTTCTTTTTGAGACAGGGTCTCACTATGTAACACTAGCTGTCCTTTGGAACTCTCTTTGGAGACCGGGTTGGCCTTGAACTCCACAGACATCTGTCTGCCTCTGCCTCCACAGTGCTGCAATTGAAGGTGTGTAGCACTATAGCAGGATCAGGGAAACATTCCTACAGTAAGAGAGAAAATGAATTTGCAAAGACAGTGAAATTATAGTTGTCAAGGTAACACAGTCTGGGGCTGCGTTTACTTTTTGGTTGTTTCAGTTAAAAAAATAGGGTTCAGGCAGGGTGAGGTCACAGCAGGCAGATACCTGTGTGTTTGAGGCTAGCTGGGTCCACATAGTAAACTCCAGGCCAGCCAGAGCTGCACAGTGAGATCCTAGTTTAAAAACAAAAGCAGGCAGGCTTGATGAAACACGCCTGTAACCCTAGAGTCAGAGGCTAGCCTGGTCTACAAAGAGAGTCCAGGACAGCCAAGGCTACATAGAAAAACCCTGTCTCAAATATAAGATAGATAGATAGATAGATAGATAGATAGATAGATAGATAGATAGATAGATAGATAGATAGATAGATAGATGATAGATAGAGATGGATGGATGGATAGATAGATAGATAGATAGATAGATAGATAGATAGATAGATAGATATAGATAGCTAGATAGCTAGATAAAATGAAATAAAATGACAACAAAATAAACGCAGCAGCAGAGGAAGTGGACCAATCAATAAGGTGCTTGCCTTGTAAGCATAGGACCCGAGTTCAAGCTCTCAGCCTACATTAAAGGCTGAGCATCCCAGTGTGTTTACAGCATCAGTAGTGCGGTGACGTAATTTCGATTTCAGAATTACAATATTAGTGTATCAATATATCAAAATTACAACCTCAGTGTATCAATGTATAAAATATCAATATATCAGAATCACAGGCCCTGTTTCAAACAAATAGTGTTGGTCAGCTGAGGATGTCCACTCAACGCTGCCCTCTGACACCCACATATTATGTCCACCTAGACCTGCACACTTACAATCACATTTTCATAATGTCAGCCTTTAACAACTTGTATAGGGAAATCAAGAAACTGGTAACTTATAGGGCCACACAGCCATCAACAGTAGCACACGGTGACAGACATCTCAGCAGTAGCACACGGTGACAGGGCTCAATATAAACTAGGTTTGGGTCCAGGACGCATGTGACTACATGATACTTTGTGTCCTGTGTCGTTCAGCTTCCTCATATGCAAAATGAGGATAATAAAAAACTCTACTTAAATGATATAATATTTATAAATTAAAAGGCTTAGTCTTCTAATTTATAAACGTGGTAGCATACACTTTTAAACCCAGCTCTTTGGAGGCACAGGCAGGTGTATCTGTGTGAGTTGGAGGTCAGCATGGTCAACAGATTGAGTTCAGGACAGCCAGGGCTACACAGAGAAACCCTGTCTCAAAAGACCAAAGGGAGGCTGGGAGTCTAGAGAGTGAATATTGTACAAATATTCACCAAATAAAAGAATAACACTGAAAATTATAACAACCCACAAAACCTTCCTAATTAAAGGAAAAAAATCCATTGAGTATGGGGGTACACACTTAAAATCCTAGTACTTAGGAGGTGGAGTCAGAAGAACAGAGTTCAGGGCCTGCCCAGGCTATGTGACACTCTTTCAAAAATAAAAAACGAACCAACCAAATAAAACAATCCCAAAAGAAAAGATGAAGGAAACAAGGAAGAGAAAGAGGAGGAGGGACTCATACTCTGACAGGTAAAGGACAAGAAAATGATTTCTCACGAAGTAACAATAGATGTCACTCTACTTCATGGGGAATATACTGATGGGCCAGGAGGACAGACTGTACCCAATTATTTCCTTCTCTTTGCTCTTCAAAGGAGATAATGAGCTACAGCATTAAAGAGACTCCTTAGAAATCATCCATCAGAATTTTCTCTAACCAAGACAAGATTGTTAGGGAGAGATAAAGGGGGTTTCTCAAAAAGCACACATGCCACAAAAATAGGAGACACATCTCCTACCTGACAAACATTCTCCTTCAGAGCTGCTCCTCCACCTCGCTCACCCTGCAACTTTTTAGATACAGACATCCCAGGGTCGTGTTCCACACCCTCTTCAAGAATATCCTTGGGGCTGGCAGCAGTCCTGTGAATCATCAGTTCTCCCTTGCAGAAAAAAAAAGAAAGTCCCACATATGTATTATTGATGTCTCCTCCATCTGACCCCCTCCTCCCTCTGGGCTGCTATTTGTCTAGCCATTAAGCACTTACAGATGTTCAGCCAATCACGCGGGCGGACTGCATGCAATGTTAGTTCTAACCCTGCTGTGATTGGGCGGGTAGTGGGCGCCTCATGCCCTGCCACTAACTGCTCTGAGGCTGTTCCACTGGAACTTTTTGAGCTGTTCCATTTAAAGGTTTCACTAAGGGAGAGAAAACATTCTTAAGTTTATTTGATTACTTATTTGTCCTTCTAAGATCCGTGTTTCCTAGGCAATGCCCCCCTTGGGCATTCTACTCCAGTTAGAAAGAAAACACTCTGCATCTTCAGCTGTGATGCTCATTTACTGCTTCTGATCCTATGTTTAATTCGCATTCAAAAGTCAGAGATAGAGTGCATCAATGCGGCACTGATGCTCTTTAAGACACTGCTTCAAATGTCTTTCAAAAGCTGATGTTTATAAACTTGCCAAATTAAGAAATTGATGGTCAAGAAATATCACCTGGACTGTCCCTCTAACCACAGCAGGCTTAACTTTTATAGGGCACCGTCTAGGCTCCCTCAGATTATTTGGTTACTCAGGCTGTACTCTCTGGTGTTAGAACGACTTCACTCACTAACCCACAGTTACATATATTGCGCCTGCTCCCTAGAGCGCCAGATGTTACCTTTTGACAGGGGCCAAAGCCACAGTTGCAGTATGTACTTGGCTAGGACTGGGCTCTAGATAAGATTTCTTATACCTAATTAATCATCTCAATAAATTGAAGGGAGAGGGATGGGACTTCTAGCGTGAAAAGTTGATTCTCTTTGGAAGGTCAACAGGTGAGGAACTGAGTAATACCTCTGCGCTTGGAGTCTCTTTTGAGGAGTCCTCCTTTTTCACTTTTTTATAGTGCACTCTGGCTGTAACATGCCTCTGTCGTTTCCGTTTTCTTGGCTTATCAAATATCTTGGTAGTGCCTATAACAGGAAAACAAATGTTACCTAACAGCAGGCTATTCATATATATGTCCAACAACTTGTATCCTTAAATTAAGAATCCTTAAAAAATTACAGCAGATTAAAATAAAACCCAATGTAAGAAATTTATTTATGACTAAAATGTCTAGAAAACTTGAACAGATACAGTTTTGTTTGTTTGCTTGTTTTTTGACACAGGGTCTCTTCAGGCTCTAGACCAGGCTGGCTTTGAACTCACAGAGATCCACTTGCTTCTACTGGGATTAAGGTGCTTACCATCATTCCCAGCAATAGTAAGTTTTTATCTTATTAGAAAACCATTACTTAAAACATAAACCTAAAAACTAGTTTATTTTATGTGCATCAGGGTGAAGGTATCAGATCCTTGGAGCTGGAGTTACAGACAGTTGTGAGCTGCCATGCGGGTGCTGAGAACTGAACCCGGGTCCTCTGGAAGAGCAGACAGTACTCTTAACCAATGAACCATCTCTCCAGCCCCAGCTAGAATTTTTTTTTTAAGAATCATAAATACAGTTTTAACTTAATCATTTAAGAGAAGAGTCCCAGAAAGGAAGAAATATCAATAAAATATAATCTTTCAAAAAGTTTTGCTTATTTAATATCTATGGGTGTGGTGGAAAGTATGTGCATGGAGTGCCTAGAAAGCCACAAAAGAATGCTGAAGTCCCCTGGAGCTGAGATTGTATAAAGGCAGTTGGGAATGGCCTTAACTGGATGCTAGAAACCAACTCCAGTTTATCTTGTAAGAGCACCAAGAACCACTGAGCCATCTCCCTGGTCTAGAAGGACTTTCTTGAACTCTATAAAATAAATAACCTTTCATATTGCAAATACTTCAAATGAAATTGTTTTTTAATAAAGTATCCTATTTCAAAGGTTTTTTCTGTAAGGTGAAAAAAATAAAATTTGGTCTGGAGAGATGGTTCAGTGGTTGAGCACTGTCTGCTCTTTTAAGGAACCTGGATTCAATTCTCAGCATCCACATGGTAGCTCACACCTGTCTGTACATCCAGTTCAAGGGATCTGACACCCTCACACCAATGCACAGAATAAAATAATTTTTAAAAATTAATTTAATGTTATGTATCTATTAGGGGAAATTAGTAGGGCCTCACATAAACGGAACAGCAAATATATACCAAAGAGATGACATTAGCCTTTAGTTAGCATGGTTTAAACCAACTCCAGCTAATTATGCTCTGAGCTACACACATACATGTGCACACAAACAAGCAAATGTGTTTATGTGTATAGAATTAAAGCAATTTAAGCACGGTGTGCTGACTATTTACAGCACTTCTAAACTCCCCCAACTTGGGCAGCAGGAGGAGGATCAGGAGGGCAAAGGTCATCCTTACCTATTTAGGAAGTTTGAGGAAGCCTGGGTTACATCTTTAAGGGAAAAAGGGGGAGTAGCATGGTGGTGTACACCTTTAATCCTAGCACAATGGAGGCAGAGGCAAGTACATCTGAGTTTATGGACAGCCTGGTCTATACAGAGAAACCCTGTCTCAAAATTTGTGGGATGGATGGATGGGACATCATGCACATATAAAGATACAAGCAAACATAGAAAGTAAAAGATAAATCTTTCATTTAAAGTAAATCCATTTTATGACAACATGTAGAGGAAATGCACTCACCATGAAGGAAAAATTCTAGTACCTAGGTTCCAGATTAGAGAAAACAATTTCTATCACTACATGTTAAGAAATAAGATGGAGGCTGGGGAATTAGCTCCATAGTAAAATGCTTGCCCTGCATGCATAAGGACAAGGAGTTCCTTCCTCAGAACCCCCGAGAAAGTCATGGTGGCATGTATTTCTAATCCCAGCAAATTAAAGCAGGAGGCAGGAATGGTGGTTTACACATGTAACCCAAGCGCTTAAAGAGGGTACAGAAAGAACACTATTGTGTGTAGCCAGGCTCAGCTACATAATAAGTTCCACACAAGCCTGAACTTTTAAGTGTAAGACCTTGTCATAAAGAAAGCAGAAAATAAGTCAAAAAAGAATTAATATGGAAACAGGTAAGATTTTTCTCATGAGGACAGGAAGACATCGCCCTACATTTTGAGACTTAAATTAGGATTATTTAGTGCTAGTATACCTTTTAACATTCAATAATAAACAATAAATATATAATCATCTGGCAGAACATAGAAGACATTCTGGTTATTTAAAATTATTTTCTATAGGGACAGTAAGGGGAGGATAAACAGGCATCTCATAAGGTATCTTATGGCATATACTAAGTGAGCTACATCGCCAACTCAGGAGAGCCTTTTCTCACAGGAACTCAACAGACACTCCCAAATACTTGCCGGGGCTTACAATACAGAGCCATTAATGTTGTTGTAAGGGAAGGATAAACAGCCATAATGTGATATAAACACTAAAATTTTCTCCTGTAACTGTAAAGTTTCTCCTGTAACTTCCTAAGACTGTGGCTGTCTTAGGAAGCAAGGTCTGAAAACGTAGTAAGCCTTGCCACTTCCTATATTAATCCTGAAGCCTACCTCACTGGGGAAGTGTTCCTGCTACTCCAGGATTTCTCAGAGACATCTTCCTGGGCCCAGACTGGGCTAAGAGCTTCCAAGGGTTTCTTAGGAATTCTGGAAAATACCCTGAACCCTGGCTGTGGTGACACTCACGGCAGATGGCTTGCTACAGACATTTAAGAGCTATGTACATTTGCTGCATTCACATTCACGAGTGTTCCCCTCTTTGTTTGGCCTAGAAATATGTGGCTATGTGGACCAGGCCAGCTTTGAACTAACAGAGCTCCAGCTGCTCCTGCCTTTTAGGTATGCTTAAGAATGTTCACCAGCATACATGTTCTTTCTACCTGGTGTGTGCCGAGATGACAGCTCTCTTAGAGATGGAGGGGAAGGGTTGGTAAGCTGCCCTCTGTGGGTACAAGATCTAACAGAGTGGTAAGTGTGTTTAAAACGTTGCTACCTCTCCAGTTCATTTCCATCATTTCCCCTAATTTTAAAGTGTTCAGACCCAGAATTATAAAATGCAAAAGTAAAATATTCCCATCATCTTTTACTTTAAAACCCATCTGAATGAGTGAACTATTATATATCTTTATAAATGTAATTGGAATTGTAGACAGATTTTGAAATCAGAAGTATTTTAAACTTGCTTGCTGTATAGTACTCCATTTCCACACTGTTTGAACTGTTTTAGGTTGTTTTATCTTCTGCTATAATCCGTGCTGCAATTACAAGCTTGTCATTAGAACAATTTTTCTGGTGTTCTAGAAGAGGGCCTTACACTGTGGTGCAGGCAGACATCACACTAACGGCAGCCCTTCTGCTGAAATCTCCCAGAGGCGTGTGCCGTTGCCTGCTCATATGCATGGAGACGGAACATGCAGTGGTTCTCACACACTAGGTAAGCACTCTGTGCACTGAACGCTGCCTGTTATCCCTCAGCCTATGATCGTAAAATGATCAGGGTTTTACACAGCACAGGTCTGTAGTCTCAGCCTGCATACTCAGGGAGGTCCTTAGACAATGCTCTCAGGAGTCACTGCAGTTCGTCGTTGGGATTATTGACCTCATGCTCTGTAGGGCTCTGTAACTGTGGAATTTTGATTTACTAAGACAAAGACTGGATGTGAAAATCATGACCTATACTTATACCTATGGGATAATTTAATAAGCATTTTAGACTGATGTCTATTCCAGCACTTGGTAGTATAATTTGTTTGAATACCAGATATAAATATTTCTAATACAGTAGCAATGATGTATGCAGTATTTAAAAATGATTTGCACCTTTAAAAACATTCTATCATCAGCTAACAAATGATGTGAACATGCCCAGCAATACAAAATTCTCATGAGCATGTAGGTGCAGACATGCTATGGCACACATACGAAAATCAGAGGAGGGCCCTAGGGATCAAACATACATTATCAAGATATAGAGAAAGTGTGTCAACCACTAAAGACATCTTTCCTGAAATCTTTTTTTGTTTGCTTGTTTTTGTTTTTCAAGACAGAAGTTCTCTGCATAGCCTTGGCTGTCCTGGACTTTCTCTGTAGACCAGGCTGGCCTCACAGCGATCCAACTGCCTCTGCCTCCCTGAGTGCTGGGATCAAAGGCGTGCAACACTATGGCTGGCTATAATTTTGTTGCTTTGTTTTGTGAGACGTGGTTTTTCTGTGGGCCCTGGCTCTGTAAACCAGGCTGGCCTGGAACTCATAGAGAGCACCTCCTTCTTCTACCTCCCACATTCTGGGATTAAAGGCATGTACCACCACACTCCATTCCTGCAATCTTAATTCATTTAAAACACTTTATACTTCAAACGAATGAGCAGTTGATATTAAAATCACCAACTTAGAGTGTGATTAACATTTGTCTGAAAATAATCACATTACGTAGTAAAAAAAAAAAAAAAAAAAAAAGATGGGTTAACTCAAATGGGTGTAGGTTGCCTGTAAAGAATGATTAATTAGCTGGATATGGTGGCATACGCCTTTGATCCCAGCATTTGAGAAAAAAAGACCAGTGGATTTCTATGAGTTCTAGGTCAGCCTGGTCTAAACTAAGTTCCAGGCTAGCAAAGGATACACAGTGAGATCCTCTTTCAAAAACAGACACTTCACTGTCCAGTTTGTATACTGTGCAGTTCTTGATTTTGCAGAATGGGGATTCTCCTCTGGGTATCAGGAATTACCTCTAATGGCAACTCTGGCTGCAGGGACCAACTTCACTCTGAACTGCTAGATCTCATCTTACTGTTTCTGCTTAACATTCTTGACGTTCTTTTTGTTTTCTTATTTTTCTAGACAGGGTCTCATTACGCAGCTCCGACTGTCCTGGAACTCACTATGTAAATTAGGCCTCAGACTCAAGAATCTGACTCACCTGTCTCTGCTTCCCAAATGCCAGGATTAAAGGGTACACTACTATACCAGGCCTTTGTGTTTAACCTTTGTGTGCTCTAATTGTGAGCAAATCTGTATCTATTCTAAAAGTACTAAAATCGGGGGGGATCTTTAAGAAATTAAAAAGTTCTAAGACATTTATGCTAGTTAATCAATGAGACTATTATCAGTGCTACAGAAGCTGGACTTGGTGAAAATGCTTTTCAAATTTCAACATTTGGGAGGCAGAGGCAGGCAGATCTTTGTGAAGCTAGAAGACAGCTAGTCTGCAGTCAGTTTCAGTACAGACAGAGATATATAAAGACACTCTGTCTCAAAAAACAAACAAGATGGTAACAGCTATATCATTAGAACAAAAGAAACTACTGTGCACGGTCAGTCTGGTCTACAAAATGAGTTCAAAAGCCAGACAGGGCTACAAAGTGAGACTACAGCCTTTAAAGACAATTCAATGACAGAAGAATGAAATGGAGAATTCAAGCAGGAAGTTTATTGCATGTTAGTCAGCTTCACAGTGCTAGAAAGCCCCTCCACATTGTTAGGGAAGCTCCATAAACTGGAAACAAGATGTGCACGCTGGCGCAATGCTGGCGTAGTACTGGCGTGTCTACTTTACTAGCGGGGGAACCAACCACTTTTGAATGGCTTTGAGGGCTGCTCCCCCGAGGGGAAAGCTGGTGCTACTAAAGCCAATCAAAAGCCCTTGGCTGGGAAGAGAGGGGAGAACACCTGGTTTGTTGTTTTGTGCTGCATGACATGTTGCCAAGCTACTTTCTAAGTGTCTACATTTATAGCCATAGCTCAGGCTCAGTGCTGCTTTGAGCCTTCAGCAGAGATTTTTCTTGTAGTGGATAGTGGTAAATATAGACACTTAAAACAGGTCAAAGTGCAGAGAATAAGCTGCTGCTGAGTAGCCTGCCCTAAATCCGACACCTACATCAACCTCACCAAAGATTCAGAAAAGGATGTTGTTAAACTCTGCCTTCTAGATAGGAGCTGTTATATTCTTGAAACCCTACATCTCCAGGCTGTGATGGAGCCTGGCAACAACCCGTTCTGGGCTGGGCTGGGGAGGGGCTTAGGAGAGTTTCACATTTCCCCAAGGAAACACTGGCAGCTTATATTAGCTGAGGGGAAAGGAGCAGGATCTTTTCATTGGAATAGGTACTAGTGACTTGTCCATGTTCCAGTCAATAATACCCCAGCTATGCTCATGCAAAATGAGCATAAAAAAATAAAAAACAAAAAATATGAATGCAGGTGAGTGACTTATAGGGAAGAAGTGTTATAGTGGGAAATAGAAAAAAAAGAAAGAAGAAAGAAAAGAAGAGGGAATTTTTTTTTTCTTAAAGAGGCTTACAATGGAACAGTATCAAATAGGCTTTCTTATTCAAGCATGTGCTAACTGACCAATGGTCATTGCTGTACCAAAAGAAACTAAAGACAGATGTGGAAAAAACAAAAGAAAACAAAACCAGAACAATTTGTGAAGGACAACTCAGAAGATTTCATGATTCCCCTCTCAGACTGCACTAGATATTTTCTAAAAAATTATCAAAACTGGACCAATACTATAAAATAATGAAATGCTATGAAATTCTGAGAGTTGGACTACTTAAGAAAATTAAGGAAGAACTCATACTTGACAACTGGTCCAAATATGTCTTTATTAAAATGTAATTTAACTTCATTTAACCAATAACAGCAGAGGACTTAAAAATAGTTATATGGCTGGGTGTGGTGGTGCAGCCCTTAGGCCCAGCACTTGGGAGGCAGAGGCAGACGGATCAGATCTGTGTGGTCTACATAGTGTATCCAGGACAGCCAGGACTGTGGTCAAAAATAAAGTGCTTAAATTTATGTAAGCTTTACTTTTTTTAAATATCAAAATTACTTACCTCCACCAAACTCTTTCAAATGAGATGTGGCACGAGAGTCAACAATAATGCCATTCTCCAAGTGACCAACTTCAAAGCACTGTAAATGAATAAAAAACAAGAGAAATTATTGAGGTATAAAAACTAGTTTTTTACCATCTTATGTGCCAAAATTGAAGACAGCTACTGCTATAGCAACAAGTCCTAGGTTACTCTGGCAATTTCTACCATCAGTACAGTAAGTTAAAGAGCACTCAAGAAGCTGAAGGAGGAGGACCACAAGTTGTAGCTGGGGACTGGATTATAAGACCTTGCCTCAAAACACAAGAAACAAAACAAGGACCACACTGGCTGTGGTGGTTCAAGGTCACCCCCAGCTATAAAGGAAATCTTAAGCCATCCTGGCTAAAAGAGACCCTGCCTCAATTCTGTTTTTATATAATATGCATAGATACATTTAGAAACTTAAGATTTAAATGAAAAACAAACAAAATATTTGATCAAGATCCATGTTTTCATTATACAAGGATCCAATCTTTTTTGTATATTACAATTTAAATATATATATATATATATACATTTAAATTAGTACTACACAAAGTGGAACTGATAAACTTATGCAATAAGTAATGAACACTGAAGAGTAAATGACTCTAAATCATGGAAGAACATGACAGCCTAACACTAAAAATTAAAGTTATTATTAAACCCCAAAAACAGACATGGCGGCTCTACTTGGAAGGAGAAAGGGGACCAGTCAGGGGAGAAAAGGGACACTGAAGGTAAGAGTGGAAGAGGGGAAGGACAGAGAGATATGAGCAATAGAACACAGATCTGAAGATGCTATAATTAAACCATTATTTTGTACCCTAAACTGAAAAGAAATTTAGAGAAAGGAGAAAAAACTATACCTGGCTATAGTCCTCAAATAAATATTCTATTAATATGAAAATAACTCAAAATGGTGCTGTCTTCTGACCACGACATGGCAGTTGTAGGTACAGAGAATTTGCCTAAAATGTAAATAAAGGCTTGGGAACAAGTCCTCAACTGTCCCTCACCCCCACACTGGAAACTCCAAGCACTATGGCACACACCTAACGTTCTAGCATTCAGAAGGTCATGGCGGGAGAATTGATAGTTCGAAGTCACCTTGGAATATCTGCAAAACTTGTCCTAAATAATTAAGTTAGTATATTAATAATTAATAACTTAATAATTATTAAGTTAGTATACAGTAAAATTATGACCTTAGGACAGGATTATAAGACCTATGCTTGCTCCAGCTAAACAAGGGCAGAAATGAAAAAACGCTACGATTTTTAAAAAATATTCTATGCCTTTTTTTCCTTTCAAGCTTATACATAAATATATATATATAATTTTGCATTTACTTATTTTGTGTTGTTGGGAAATGTGTGCAAACAACTATGGGGGATTGAGGAGGTCAGAGGTCAATTTAGAGAGGTTGGATCTTTCCTTCTATCATGTGGTTCTGAGAATCAAATTCAGCTCATCAGGCTTGGCACTAAATCTTTTACTCTCTAAGCCACTTCTCCAACAAGACTTCTAAAGAACCAATAACCAGTCATTTTCAATAATTTTCATGTACCATTTAATGAGAACCAATAGTTATTATTTATTGGTTTAAGAACCAATAACCAGTCATTTTCAATAATTTTCATGTACCATTTAATGAAAACGGATTTTTCACTGTTACTAAAAAGCAACTCTGTAACTGCAAAATCGTGATTTCAAATATTTGAACTTTATAAAGAAATAATACAGCTAAGTCACTTCTAAGGTATTGCACAGAAATATTATCAAAGCAGACCAGTAGTGTAAAAGAAGTAACATAAGTCAGGCAAGATGTTTTCAATTCAGGAGGAAAAAAGGTACAAGCCAACCATGGATATGCATGCCAGCAATCCCAATAGTTGGGAAGCTGAGAAAATAGATCACACATGCATATGGGGCGAGCCTAGCCTATATGTAAGTAAGTGAAAGCACAGTCTAGGATAGAGCAAAAAATCTGTCTTTAAGTAAATAATTACTGGCATAAACTTTATCATGATCATAAAAAGCCTCTTAAAATAAAATTTTCACCTATAAAGAAAATCTCACTCTTGTGGTACAGGCCTAAAATGAAGGTTGCTGGGAAGGATGAGGCAGAAGGTTCTCAAGTTCCAGTGTGCCTGAGTAAATGTGAAGCCAGCAAAGGCAACTTTGTGAGACCTGCCTATACCATAAATTAAAAAGAGGACTGGGCTGGCGCAACAGTGGCATGAATATTATGGGAATAACTAAACACTTTTACATGGATTTAAGGCCTGTTCCATGAGAAGGAATCCATACCTGATATTGTCAATGGGGCCAAGAACCCAAGGTTAGGTAAGTAATGGAATGGTGTTCTCTAGACACAGCAGAGTTGGTACACATATAAAATAAAACTCACAGTATGTGACAGCATGCACAAGCTCAAACCAAGACCAACACTGTGGCACAGAGCAGGGGAGGTAGACATGAAGGCCCACCTCCAGCCAAGGAGCTACTGCATTTGCCTAATGGCTAAGGGAAAATTAGTTTTATCAATGCAGTAACACTTGGTATATCAAACACACTTCAGGATAAGGACCAAGTCAAAGAAGTCAACACAAACCAGTCTCCACGATTTTTTTTTTTTTTTTGTTACTTCCAAAAGTAATCATTTTTGTATGTGAAAGACAGAGAGAGAAACATGAAATTGAATGATTAGGAAAGTGGAGGATAGGTCTAGGAGGACTTAGAGGATAGAGGAATGAATATGATCAACACATATTGTATGAAATCCTCAAAGAATAAATAAAAACATACTTGACAAGCGGGGAAGCGGGGGCCAAGATTGCATTCTGAGCTCTAGGATTAATCCCATCTCCAACCCCAACCCCAGAGACAGGGTGCCCCTTTCTGTAGCCCTGACTGTCCTGGAACTAGCTCTACAGACCAGGCTTGTCTCGAACTCACAGAGATCTGCTGCCTCTGCCTCCCTGAATGCTGGGATTACAGGTGCACGACACTACGCCCGGCTGGTTTAATTTCTAATACTGGCAAAAAGAAAAAAACCAAAACATCTGAAGCCAGCTCATGTTAAGGCTATGCGTTGCCAAACAGCTTATCTTTCATTTTTAATTTTTTTTTTTTTGAGACAGGATTTTGCCATGTAATAGCCTTGGTGGTCCTGGACTCTCTTTGTAGACAAGGCTGGCCATGAACTCACAGAGATCCACCTGCCTCTGGACCCCAAGTGCTGAGGTTAAAGGTGTGAGCCACCACACCCAACCCTTTTTTATTTTTTATTTTTTTGTTTTTTGAGACAGAGCTTCTCTGTGTAGCCTTGGCTGAACTAGAACTCGCCTCAAACTCAGAAACCCACCTGCCTCTACCTCCCAAGTGCTGGGATTCAAGATGTATACCAGCACTGCCTCCAGGTGGAAAACAGTTATTAAATACAGGATCTCAGTTAGATCAAGTGTGCATATTAACACTCTGTAATTTCTCAGGGTTAGGGTTAGGGAACTAGTATACAATGTCCCCATCTCCACCCTGAAATTTTATCCACAAGGGAAATATTTTGAAACTTCCATTTGTATTCTTAAAAATACAAACAATACATGTACTATTTTCTCCTACATACAATATGATAAAGTTAAAATTTTAATTAGGCACATATCAAAACAATATTATACTATGATAAATTATGTTTATGTGTGGTTTCCCTCTTTCTCGCTCTTAAAAGATCTAATTTGTAAGTAGATACTAGAGTTCATTTCTTCTTCATATGTATCTTACACATTAGTCAATCCCTCCTTTGCACATTTATGAACATTTTTCACTGAACATGCTCTTTTACAAGGTTCAATAAAGACTTTCTTTACATAGTATTAACAGTGTCAATCAACTTCCCCCCCCCCTCTGCTGGAAGGGCAGCTGCAACTTCCTATCAGCAGACAATGCTTCTCCAGTAAGTTTTAGAGATTTCAATTCCTAAATCTATGTGGCTAAAAATCTATGATTGCAATGCATGACTTTGTTGTTTGCACCAGATGTCTTTCTAATGGATTAATTACTGTGGCACACTTCTGTGCCATCAACTTGAATACATTTTCTGGTTTATGTGTTCCACCCACAAGTGCAATGTCCTTTCCATTTTAACTGGCCACTTATTACACACGACTGGCTATAATTTCAGTAGTTCAAGGAACAATATCAAGTCTCACAAATTTCTTTCTCTATAATTTCATGGATGGATGCTTCCTTCTTAAAATAGTTTTTAACAAACTCAACATACAATTTGATTTCTTTACAAACTCAAGAACGTTTAACTTTCCACTGAAACGAAGCACTTACCAGTCTTTGTAGCATATCCAAGCTACTAGCATCATCATACTTGCAATTCAGAACCATAAGCAGTCTGAAGGATAACTTGAAAGCAAGCATTGTGATAGCATGAGTCAACCTGGAAACCTACACAGTGACACACACTGAAAGTCTGGACAAGGAGAAGCCATATCCAGGGCATAAGGTTACCAGGTGTCTTCTCCCATTGTCCTCACAAAATATGCACTTAAAATAGAAACTGTGTATTTCATAAATTTGCCATTTAATACTTTCAGAGTACAGTCATTAGTTAGTAGGAACTGTGGAAGGTGAAACCACAGTTAAGGATGGACAACTATGCAGATCAATGTTAAAAATACTACTAAAAATGCAATTTTCTAATCCTGCATTTCGCAAGTTTAAGCCTATTTTAGAACTGTTAAGAATACCATACCTTTCTAGAAAGGCCAAGATCGCCCTTCTTCGGCATAAATCCAGGGTCTAAATCATTGGATTCTAGAAGTTTCTTAGTTGGTTTTCTTTGACGCTTACTTTCATAATTTCCTGAAATGCACATAATTTTCCTTAGATGCTTTAGAGATTGAGCACAAGCTAACTATGAAAAATGAAAATTATAAGAGTCACAATCTTGCTTGCATTTTTTCATACGTTATGAGGAAGGTCCTGGTAAGAATGTATTCTTCTAAAATATTGCTTCCTAAAATACAATAAATATTACTCAATGAATTTACACATTAATGTATGATGAATGTGTGAATGTGTAAAACAGAGAATAAGGGCAAAGTAAAGGGCTGAAGCTCATTTATAGCAATCAGTTGATGGTGAGGATAACAAAGAAAAGTAGAGCTGGATTCTGTGCACAAATGGACCAGGACTATATTTATATTTATTGTGCCCTTGAAAAGGTACACAAAAAGATATTAAGTATAAAAATACCTAAATACCTTTAAAAACTGCTCTGAAAACTTCTATGGAACATGATGGAGCACACATGCATGCCCGACACTTGGGAGGACAAGGGAAAAAAAACTCCGTAGTTTAAGGCCTTCAAGAAAAGTAAAACAAGTTGGGTAGGGTGGTGCACACCTTTAATCCAGAGACAGAGACAGAGACAGGCAGATCTCTGAGAGCTCGAACCAGCCAAGCCTACCTAATGAGTTCAGCATGGCCAGGACGAGAGACCCTCCCTCTCTACCTCTCTAATAAAAAAAAAAGTTAAAACCAATAATCCTATACTATATATTCACAAATGGACATGCGCGCGTGCGCGCGCACACACACACACACACACACACACACACACACACACACACGCGTGTAATACAGTAGGTTCTTACCATTGCTATTCTTCAAAACACAGCTTTCACTGGTCTCGTGGGGTGGCAGTGTATGTAACACCACTTGGTGCCAAGCCCCCAACAACTCAAGTTTGAGCTCAGAGGACAGACACATGGTAGAAGAAACTGACTCCCTGAACACTGTCCTCTCAAGTCCACAAATGTGAGATGACATACTTAGAAACTTGTGTACACACACACACACACACACACACACACACACACACACACACACGCAATTTAAAAATCTTTCAGGGTTGAAGATGTAGCTCAGTGGGTAAGCCCTAGGTTAGATCCCTGGCACAGCAAAAATAAAAGTAACAAATTAAAACAAAAATCTTTTAGATTCTGCCTTACTACAGTAAGAATAACTAGGATATTTTTGTTTATTTTTTGATTTGTCAAGATGATATTTCCCTGTGTAGCCTTCGTTGTCCTGGAACTTGCTTTGTAGACCAGGCTGACCTGGAACTCAGAGATCTGCCTGCCCCTGCCTCCTGAGTGCTGGGATTAAAGACATGTAGCCCACTACCCAGCTGGATTATTTTTTTAAAAGGAAAAATAGCAGTAACTAATGTTGGGAATAGACAGATACTTACTATTTAAATGTAAAGACATAGGAGAGTTCTTCCCGTTCCTTGGCTGACTGTAGTAACATTCAACAACCAGGAGGTGACAGAAATAGTACATTTAGAAGTAACTCTCCCCAGGTGACATAATAAATAAGAAACTGAGAAATAGTTGGAAACGAACTTCAAGGGGATAGTAAAACTTACTAGATGCCTACTGTGTTTTCCGAATTTTAATGTTATACACTGCTTCTTTTTGTGCTGTTTTAAGGGTGCACCTGGAGGCCAGAGGTCAGTTTTGCATGATGTTCCACAGAAGCCATCAACCTTTTTTTTCCAAGACAAAGTCTTGCACTGGGGTCAAGGACCTAATTACACAAGGCTGTATCTGTCTCATGGCGTTACAAACATGTACCCTACACCTGGAATTTTAATGTAGGTACTGGGGATTGAACTGAGGTCCTTACTGTATGCAGCAATCACTTTACCAACTGCGCTATTTTGCCAGCCCAATTATGGCCAGTTTATACATGACAAAACAAGTTTAGAGAGTAAACAAATATCCAAGGAACAAATGAAGTGGTAGAGCTAGTAGGCGAAAGAAATATAGGTTTCAAGTTCTTATTCCACTAGTGCACAGCACTTCTACCCACTGATATCTTGCTTGCTGGTTTACAGTGCAGCTGATCAATAATCATAAAAAGAAAATAAAACAGGGTAGTTGATAAAAACATCTTCTTTACGTGCTCCACAAATTCCTTGGTGGTCAGAAGCTATATCAAATTAGCCACTACTTTAGGGATTTCCTAGAACAAAATAAATAGTTGTTGCATATAGTAAAAGATGTTAGTTTTATCACAAAACATAGCAGAAATTTCCTGTTGCATCTGATTATACCTGCTTATACACTGACAGACCAACCACACCTTACCTGGTGTCTTAACAAGCAATTCCTCAGACTCAAGGGCAGGCCGAGGAGAGATTTCTGGAGCCACAGGAACAGACAAGGTCAGCTGTGGCAACTCAGCATGTCCAGCTCCAAGATCTGACTGAGCCAATGGTCCTTCCAAAAACGGAGCCTCTCTTTCAAGAACAGGAGGCTCTTCCTTAGTTGAAATCAGAGAATTCTCATCCACCTGCTTGTTCTGGGCACTAGATCGGCACCCTGCAAGAAGGTTTTCGTCTTCACAGCGAGAGCTTACCTAAAAACAGTAAGTGCAAGTGTAATTCCGAAAAATAACAACAGCAATGATAATGATGATGATGATGATGTGCTTAAAAACACAAGCAATTCTGACACTTGTTATGACATGGATGACGTGAGGACATTAGGTTAAAGGACACAGGCCAAAGTATATTGCACGACCCATTAATCTGAATTACCTAGAAGAATCAAACTCCTAAGTACTCTTTTTCCATGTAGGAAGAGAAAAATGTCTAGAGATGAATAATGCTTGTGGTTGCAGAACAGCACAACCACACTTCATGCTAGAGAACTGCACACGTAAAATAGCTGCTTATTTACAGACTTCCTGACATGTTTTAGTAGAACTTAAAACATGTTTAGTTACACTAAACATAAACCCAATACTGGGGAGGGGGTTTCTCCTGCTATTACCAATTAAAACTAAACTCCTTGATTATAAAAAAAAAAACATTTATTTTGCTTTTAAAACATTGAAAAGTTTAATGAAAAAGACTGAGCTTAAGGTAGAAAAAGATGAAAAAAATCTTTAAAAAGTTAAGGTAAAATTATGTGTTTTTATTTCATTATCCAGGTTCTTGTTGCTACATTGTAAAATATATTCCTACATTCTTAAATAGGGGCTGGAGAGATGGCTCAGAGGTTAAAACACTGTCTGCTCTCACAGAGGTCCTGAGTTCAATTCCCAACAACCACAAGGTGGCCCACAACCATTTATGAGATCTGGTGCCCTCTTCTGGCCTGCAGGCACAGATGCAGGCAGAAGAGTGTAAATAATAAATAAATAAACATTTTTAAAAAACACTCCTTAATAACAGAGGGGAAAATAAACAGAAACATGGTATGTACATTTATTTATATACTTTCTGAATAACTAATACAGGGTAGGCACTGTGCTAGATAACAATAAACAAGAGAAAAGCCAACCAACCAACCAACCAACCAACCAACCAACCAACCAACCAACCAACCAACCAACCACAACTGAGAAGCCAAGATCGCAGTTAAAGAAAGAACTGTCTTCTGAGGATGCTATACTGCTGCAGGTGAAGCTGCTGTCTAACATGTCGCCACATACCTTATGCACTTGTTCCTGTACCTTCTTTTGTTTTTTCTTAGGAGCAAATATCTGATCATATTCTTCTGTATATTCCAGAAGCCACTTGCTTGGCTTCCTAAGGCGTTTCTTCTCTGACCGAATAGCTGAAAGGGAAATTAATTTTAATATTAACTGATGAATTAATTAAATTAATTAATATTACCCACTGTTTCATGATGCCATCACCACACCCCTGAAAGTAAATTCATGCTTCCTAAGCAGTAAGGAGGCGCAAAACTGTTTTTTTATTTTTCTTCTTCTTCTTCTTCTTCTTCGAGACAGGGTTTCTCTGTGTAGCAGCCCTGGCTGTCCTGGACTTGCTCTGTAGATTGACTGGCCTGGAACTCATAGCGCTACGCCTGCCTCTGCCTCCCTGAGTCCTAAGATTACAGGTGTCCACCACTGCACCCAGCTCAGAACAATTTTTAATTTATTTTTTTATTTATGTTGATTGGTGTTTTATCTGCATGTATATCTGTGGGTGTCAGATCTTGGAGTTACAGGCAGTTGTGAGCTACCATGTAAATGCTGGGAATTAAACCCGGGTCCTCTGGAAGAACAGTCCATGCTCTTAACCACTGAGCCATCTCTCCAGCCCTCAGAACAATTTTTAAAGATACAAAAGGAATTCTGGTTTAAATAGTAAGAAGCTTGAAATGATTTGCTATGATTTATCAAAAACAAAAGTTGGGAGGGGTTTTTGTCACTCTGTATAAACTCCCCATTTATACAATTCTCCATTCTTAAGGAAAAGATTAAACTGAGACCAGCATTCTGTATTACCAGTACAAACTTAGCACAGAGCACTCATCAGGTAGACTGGGCATGACAGCTAAGGCAGGAAGACTGTTCAAGTTCAAGGCCAGTATGTGCTACACAAAGTTTAATTAGTTTCATGCCAGCCTGGGTTGAAGAATAGGAATTTGTGTCGTAAGCAAACAAAACAACAAAAACAGAAACATGTTAGGGAGTCAAGCTCATGACTTATAGAAGAACATACGAATTAATAGGGTCAGACATTTGCTCCATTTCTCCTACTCAGGTACACATCTTCAGCCTACTCTGCTGAATCTTGCTAACCTGATACTCTGCTACTGTCTTGTACACACCTACATAACTGTAAGCTATGGTCTATTTAGGAGAAAGGAGGGATTTGACAAAATGTGTGGAAGCTGCTCCTGACTCAGCATAACATGGTATTGCTGCTTTTGATGAAAAGACAGCATTTAGAAGTCAGGCATGAGTCCCTGCTCTCATGAGGCAGAGAAACAGGAGGATCTCTGTGAGTTCGAGACCAACCTGGACTACATAGTTACAGGCCAGCAATGGCTGCACAGCGAGATTGTCTCAAACAAACCAACCAACCCAATTAACGCAAGAAAGCTAATTTACAAACACAGAAAGACCCTAATCTGAAAAAAATAATAGGGAAGAAGAAATGAAAATATTGAGGTCAATTATTAAAAGGTCGAAATAGTCATCAAAAGTGTATGCCTACATTGCTACCTATATAATTATGCAGCTACTTAAAGTAGGAAAAAAAAAAACCAATAGAATTTTTCTTATTGTTTCATGTTAGATAATATATTTATAACTGAACCAAAGTAGAGGGATTTTCCCAAGCAATGTGACAAGTTGCCTGAAGTTCCTGCAGTCATGATAATGTTCCTTCTACAATGGACCCTGAAGCCTTGTCTTGGTATTTAAAAAAAAAAAAAAAAAAAATGCCCAACCATACCTTGAAAAGCAAACACACACACACACACACACACACACACACACAGTTATACCCATGTTCTTAGGCAACTATAATAGACTATAATTTAATAAATTCTCTTAGACACTCAAGTTTTGCAATGCTAATAACGTTTCTTTTTAATGGGGATTCACTGTTTCAATCACTTAACATCAAGGGTCTCTAGCCCTCAGTTCAATATGCCATGCAGAAATGGGCATCCCCCTTGTATAATTAATGTAACTAAAGCTCAGAAAGGGAAAGAAGCTTATCAAATTCATTATACTGTAAGTTATTACTGAGTAGGGGAAGCCATGATAACAATCAAAATCTAAGCAGGGCCTGCTGGCATACACCTTTAGTTCTAGCACTCAGGGAGGCAGAGGCAGGAGTATTGTGTTTGAGGCCAGCCTGGTCTACAAAGCAAGTCCAGTCTACACAGAGAAACCCTGACTTGAAAATTCAAAACCCTAAAACATCAACAAAAACACATTCAAATCTGTCAACCCTAAAATCCTTGGGTTCTTTTAAATCTATCTTTATTTTTTGGTTGCTCCTACCCCAGAGGCCTGTCTCTGCCTCCCCAAGTGCTGAGTTTTGTTTGTATGTTTTTAAATGAAGCAAGCTCCTATGCTTATACTTCCCTCACTCCTAAATGAAGTCTCAAGCCTGTTTTCTTGTACCCTTTCTTTTTGAGGTTGCCGCTTTCATTATATACTAGGGATTTATTTGCCTTTCTCAAAGAAAATACCCAGGTCAAGCTTCGGTTCTTTAGGTAAGTATCTCTTTGAGGCAAAGGAAGAAGCCTACAGCACACGAAAGATTGGATAGCAGAGTGAGATAAATTTGTACCTTAGTACAGCTTTAGGTTTCTGCAAATCATAGGCATTGCTCCTCACCAAAATTCTGTAGAACAATACATTAAAATTTTAAGGTCTCAGCTGGTGTAGTAGAGCACACCTTTAATCCCAGCACTTGGGAGGCAGAAACAGGAGGATGTCTGTGAGTTCAAGGCCAGCCTGGTCTACAAAGAGAGCTCCTGGAAAGCTAAGGCTGTTACACAAAGAAGCCCTGTCTTGTAAAACAAACAAAACAAAGTTTTAAGGTATAGTAGCACATGGCTTTAGTCCCGGCAGAGGTAGGCAGTTTAAGGACAGCCTGGTCTATAAAATAAGTTCAAGAACAGGCAGGGCTACACAAAGAAAAACTGTTCCTCAAAAAAAACCAAAACCAAGTAAACAAAAAAGTTTAGGGTCTGATAAACTATTAATTCTCTTTTTTAGTAGTTTACTGAATTATGGACACACTATTGATTTCCATAAAGTCTATGACTTTTTTGCTACAGAGGTAAAAGTTAGTAGTTAAGAGAGGCTATACAGCTTTTAATGCCTAAAACATTTACTTTTAGAAAAAAACAAAAAACAGCACTTTTTTAAACTAGTACAGCAAATTGTACAATGAAAATACCTAGTAACAACTAAATGGCTCACACTCCCCTTACAGGAGACCACAGCTCTCCACCTACACTCCCCAGACTAGACTGCCCAGTCACAATACTTTGGACAGTGGGAACAATTTCCCTAATCCTTCCTCCCTCTGCCTCCCCCGCTCCCCAACAGGGTTTCTCAGTAGAGCCTTGGCTTTCCTGGATACAGGACAGAAGAATGATTTGTCAAAGTCAGAGAAAAGATAAGAACAAGAAGAGTACAACCTTTGAATACTAGAGGGCAACAGCAAACATGAAGGACAAGGGAATGGACAGAGAGAGGCATGTAGCACTATGCCTACAGGTTAGCAGTTATCCTTTTAACACAGCAAAATACCTCGGTCACATCTAACAGTGTTTATTCGATAAATAAATGTGCAACCCTATCCTGTCTCTGTCCTACCATCATAATTTTGTTTACTTTTGGTTTTTGACACAGGTGCTCAGTCTTAGACTAAGCTGGCTTTGAACTTGTGGCATTCCTCCTCCCTCAGACTTCCAAGTGCTGCGATTATAGGCCTGAGCTACTTCGCTGAGTGCTATCATAAATTTGACAGGCTTCTATAAGTTAGAAAAAAAAAATGCACTGTGAATTTTAATAACCATGGTAAACATTAAGCCTATGAAACAGTTTTACTCAGTTAAGAGATTTTGTAGCATGAACTCTACATGCATACAGCTCCTTTATAAATTCCAAACTTTACTGCAAAAAAAGTGACTAGATTCTAAATGGGAATAGATTTACAATGAAAAGGGGATGTTTAGAATGAATTTTAGAGAAATACTGATGGAATGCAAGCCTTAATTTTCTCTATTGCTTACAGGAATGTCTAATGTGACAATTACAAAGCATAATCTAGACCTGAGAGGCATTGTCAAACACATACCCTACCACCCAGGGAAGAGGTGAGCAGCAATCTCTAGAAATACAAAAATCATTTTAACATTAATAAAGGGCAGATTTAACAAATTATAGCAAGGTATAAAAAATATTGTGAAATTTAATAAAGTTATCACTAATATGACAACAAAAATCATGAGAGACACCTGGAAAACAGGCTGAATTGCTGCAGGGTACAGCTGGAACGAACACCACAAACTTTTTGTATCTTTTTCATGTTGAAATATACCAACATATTACCATTTTGCTCTTCCAAAAGTCTGAGTAAGGATTTCTCTCAGTGTGCTAACCCTGAGGAAGCCCCAGGGTTAGTGCCTAGCACCACACAGAATGACATGGTGGCAATTTCTGTAATTCTGGACTCAGAAAGACTAAGAGTTCAAGCCTGGCTTGGGCAACATGACAGCATGTCTCAACAACAAAAGCACTCTAAATTCAGTACAAACAAAAATTACATAAAAACATGAAATATAAGACAACACTCTTACAATATACTCATGTTTACTGGTGATTTTAAAAGCTGAAGAGAATTATCTCTAGTGCCCTGTGACTATCTGCTAACAAAGGCAGTGAGAGAAGGAAAGCACATCAAGGAAAAAGTAACTGGGTAGGGTAAAACCCAAGAGCGGATGGTACAGAAGGCTAAAAACATTGTTGGAAGACTCGAGTAAGACTCCTGGAGCCAAACAAGGGAAGCAGAGGCTACAGCAAAGATGGACTTATGCTAAATGTACAGCAGCTTCAGCCCAGCCCTGTTTGACTAACCCCAAACGAGATGGAGGCACTGAGCCAAGTCAGATTACTCTGTTTTTGTTTTGTGCCTCTGTGACTCCCCTCACCCCACACATCTACATCTTTCCTGATGACTGGTGTAATAAAACAAACAACAACAAAACCAAAAGGTGCCTGGAAAGGCCAGGGAGAAGGGGGGAGGGGCATGAAGATGGGACTAAGATTGCCAGAGTACAGTGGTGCAAATCAC